CCTGCTCACTTGTCTAATTGGCCCGGCGGCTGATTAACGCCGATCTTTTCCACCTGGTTCCCAAGCTATTTATGTTGTTTGCCAGCCTTTCATAAGCGCCTGATTATTCAAGCTGTTGTGAGAGTAACTCTAGAGTTCAAGTGATTTTTGTCTGTTATTCTGATTCTGACCTGTTTTCTGCTCTGGATATTGATTTATTAAATATAAATCAGTAATAAATATCATATATAATATCTGCAATTTGAACCTTGAAGAAAATATTTCTATTCTTAACCTTTACAAAGGTACCAAAAGCTTGCATTAAGACTTGATGAATTTGGAACCATCTTTGATTTATTGTTTTCTATGTTTTCAGATGGAAATAAATTCTACACGCTCCTTAGTGCTCCACTCAGTATACCCTGCAGAAGCTGAGCGAATAACTCAGAGTCTGCTACTTTTATACCTTCTGGAAAATAAATGATTTGAAGAACATATGAAGGGATTAGGCTATATTACAAACTGGCTCTTTTAACAATGAAAGCATACATTGCAGGTGTGCGAAACTATCATATCCATGTCCTTGGAGTGGCTGCATGTGATCTGTAAGTGGTTACGTCGAACAGCCAAAAGCTCCATCACCATTTCTCTCAGCAGTGCTGTTAGTGGTTGGATTTTAACACATCTCTCAGCGGGGGAGCAGAAATGAGCACTGACTTGCTGGGTCACACATATGAGGCAGCAGCATAGGAGCTGCAGAGAAAAAATAACCTGAGGCTTGGATTTCATATCACCAGTATGAGTTGAGGGGGGATGAGAGGGGATGGAATCCCCCTTCTTAAAAAAAATCTTAAAAAGCATCCCCCTTCTTAAATGACCATCTCCCCATACCATCCCCTGTGACATTTATTCTACTCAATTTGTACATCTCTACTATATATTTACAGTAATGGCAATTATATTGCCCTTTCGGCATTTGGCGGTCTGTGGGCATACGAGTAGCTTGAGAAAAAATAAATGAAATCTAAGAAGTGACCTACCATGACTATGAAGCTGATCCCAGTAGGAAATGTCTCCTCTGCATTTGTCCCTAACTATGTAGGGGCAGTGATAGCCATGCCAGTCCAGGGACTGACTGCAGTTCTACTGTAAGGTGCCTTGGTCAAGGTCAATGACCGTCGTATCCGACATGTAACAACCATGCCATGCATATTGCTTTAGGTCAATAGACTATATTAATTAGGCTATGTATACATCCAAAAAAGTTGAGAAATAATCCGCTGGGCTTGGTTTCCATGTTTGAAGACATTTTGCTTTTCATTCAGGAAGCTTTTTCAATTCAATTATCAGAATTAGTGTTGAGTAAGAAGCTTTATATAGTAGCCCAAAAGCTCATTTAGGCTTAGAAAACGTCCAAATTGAGCCGGAAGAAAAAACAAGTTATTTGGGCTTTTTGTAAAGCTTCGACTAAATGCTAATTCTGACATTTTGAATTTAAAAAGCCTTCTGGATGGGAAGCGAAACATCTTCAAACTTGGAAAGAAAGTCCAAATTTCACCATCCCTGTCAGGATTTGTTTGGAGGACCCAAATGCAGAGGCCGAGAGGCAAGGGTGAGTTCTTTGATGATACAATGAGATAACACAGGTAGCAAAAACAGGAATCCAAAAATACAACACAAAAATTAAACACTAACCAGAACCATGGAAACATCAGGGGAAATAAATAATGTAAATGAATATTTGAAAGGTGAGTAAAAATAAAAGATTTTATATACCGGTAAATGCTTTCACACAAATGTTTATAATCTTTTGAACACATCGCTAAGATAAAGACTTAGCTAAGATAGTGCCTTTACAGAACGCCACTTTAGTAAATTCATATAATACATAAGAACTGGTTTATCTTAATAAACATATCTGGTTCATTGCATTACTGATCAAATATAAATGCTTTTTAAAACATTTCCTCATAATGGAAATTCCTTTGTAGCATTTACAAGTTATTAAAGTCTAGTTGAACTTTTGGAAATCATAAAATCACCACCATTCTTCAGTTTTTCTCAAGCAAGGCTATTCCAATGCTTAGAATTAGTGTAATAACTAAAAACCTAGCTACATCTTTATTTGACTGTTACCTAAGCTCAAGAGAAAATTAATCTGGTTAAAAACCCACCATACTGTACTGTACCTCAGAAAAAAAAAAAAAAAAACCCAACATGCTTTAAATGTCGGCATGGGGAAGGGCAACAAGGTGAAAAACGTGTGGTTTTCAAATGTATTTAATAGAACAAAGAAATTATGAAAAAAACTAACATGGTGTTTACATGACCTGCAATGTTCTTTAAAATGGCACTTTGAAGGGGAAAACCAATATGTTGCAGACTACTGTATTTTTCTTTTGTTTGCCTCTATGAGGTGAGTCACTTTCTTCTTGGTTACACATCTGCATAAAGCTTTCACGGTGCAAGCATTAATTGCAAAGGTTAAACATAGTCGAAAAGATGTTGCATGAGCAGCTAAGAAGAAATTCTGCCCCAAAGTGTTTGAATAATTTATATTTTGTATTAAGCAGAGTTGCAAAAACAAAAGAGTTATGCATCCTTTTTTTTTTTTGGTTTTGCATCAGTGTTGTTTCCAAAAGTAAAAGCTGTAATAATGTTTTAAAATAAATATAGAGGATATTATGAAAAAGTAAGCTGTTTTAGTCAACAATCCATGCTACAAAGTTTTTAGTGCTTAAGTTTAGTCCCAAACATCATTAAAGTTTGTTTCCATAAAATGATAACAGACAAAGCTTAGTGAGGAGGCAGCAGAGTGGCATGGATGCAAGGAATGTGGTGGGCTTGAAACATGGTAGCAGGACAGCAGGGCCTGAATTAGGCTTAGCACTTTGCTAAGGAAGATATTACTATCTAACCTCTACACGAGGCTAATTGAATTTTGTTTTGCTGTGTATTTTTTAAATATAATCACTGACCCTTTTATTACATACAACTGTTAAGCTGCATGTTCACAGCAAAAACATAGATGCAACCTCAATCAGACAACTTACAGATGTTTAAAACAAGAATGGGCGAATAGAGAGAATTTCAATGAATTTTAATGAAATATTATTGTTGCAACAAGCAGGTCTAGGTTATTTGGAAACTACTAAACTACCTTCACACACCATGAATTGTTTTTAAAAGCAAGACAAGCGCTGTGATAGCAGCACATCAGCAGCACAAATTTTCTATTTCTGAATAGATATTCTATTCAGATATAGATATTCAGATATAGATATTCGATTCATTATATTATATTATTATTCATTCTATTATATTATTAATATTATTTAAACACAGATGCAAAGAGACACATGAAAGATGATATAACAAACATTCTCTCTCCTGCTGGGTCAAAAAACAGTGAAAAATTAGAAGTTTTTGAAGCAGATCCAGAAATGCAAAGTAAGGCCTTGGAGCTACCGTGACAAAGCTCTGAAAAAGCAATACGCAGCTGTTGTGTTTACAAATTATTTTGTTGCAATACTGGAAGTGAAACAATGGCTGAAAGAGGAGTTATTTACTACATAATGAATAACATTAAAATGTATTACAAATAAACAAATAACAATAATATGTTTATATATTTATTATCGTCAGGGTTTGGTTGAGGTTTTAAGGACCCAAATGCAGAGGCAGGGAGGCAGAGATGAGTTCTTGTAGGTTTAATGGAGTATTCACAAGCAAATGAGGCAGGAATCCAAAAATATAACATAAAAATGTAAAACAAATCAGAACCCTGGAGATATCAGGAAAAACATGCACAAGGAGCCAGGGATAGACAAGGAACCAGCACTGAGGAACTGCACAGAGCGGGTTAATATGGGAGACTGAACAAAGACAGGACTAATGAGCTGATTAGGGGCAGGTGTGAACAAAGAATTCTAGAGGGGAGCTAAGGAAAAGAAGACCAACACATGAGGGCAACAAAGGCTACATTCACACTGCAGGCCTTGATGCTCAATTCCGATTTTCTTTGCATTGCCGTTCACATTTCCAAATATATGCGACTTGTATGTGATCTTCTGTGTGAACTGCAGTCATAAAACGCAAGTGTCCCGCATGCGCAGTACAGGACGCAATGACGTCACAGGCCAGCATGCTCTTTTTTTCTTTTTTTTCTTTCCTGGCCGTTCAGACACATGTCGCATTTGAAAAGATCAGATCTGCATCGGATTCAGGACCACATAGCCAAGTGGCCTGCGTCAGATTGAAAAAAAAATAGATCAGTCTTGTTCAGACAGCCATGAAAAGATCAGATCCAGGTCGCATATGGGCAAAAAAAAAATCGGTCACTTTAGGCTGCAGTGTGAACATAGCCAAAGAAAAACCTAAGAACTCAAATACATCCAGAAAACACAACAAAATAGAAATTAAACCAATACAACTAGGATACATGGATCAAAGTAAAACTGAATACTCAAAAGAAAACTTAACAGAACCAAGTTATTTGTTATTATTACAACCATTTGTGGAACACCATCTCTGTCTATGCAACAAGTAAAACCTAGAAGCAAAGATACCACAGCAGCAGAAGTTCAACAGTAAAATGGGGTCACTATAGCCAAAGGCTTGCCATATTGAATAATAACAGAATTTGGGTTAATTCACCAGAGTATAATAGTGTGGGAGGTTAACTTCTTGGCACACCTTTGATATCCAATTAATCCTTATCCACACCTCTGTTTATGCTCTGTGTCCACCTCTTTATTTCTTTCTCATTACTACCAGGATAATGCACCAACCCACAAATCTCTTATTACCTCAAACAGGTTTCTGAAAAGAGGAAATGTTTTCACTGGAAACGGTACAATTAGTACATTTGACCATTTCCACCATATATTCCAGTCAAATTTGTCCAAAGTCACCATTCTGTAAATAATCCCATTTTGTCTCCATTAAATCAGTAAAATCTGCGAAGAAGCTAAAAAAACAGTTGCACAAAGCAAATGGCTCAGTGTTCTAAATGATCTCACCTCTCTGTTTGTCACTGAAGTAACTGAAATATGGCGGACAGGTTATCGTCACCACTTCTCCAAACGTGGCTGATGGCCAGCAGGCGATGATGTCCCACATACCCTGGCAACCTGTAAAAAAATAGTCGGTAACACAGACATGGCATCACCTATCATATGATATGAGACATACTGATAGAGAGGGAAATGGCAGGAAAAGGTGACTGCACAGAAAAATTCTCAATCTTTTAGTGACAAATATCTACAAAGAGCCTATTTACCTAAATACAATTCTTGTGAAAAAAGTATATTCTTACTTTTCTAAACTTAATGCAGTTGATCGTTATCATAAATCTATAGATACAAAATTTAGTTATCATCTCTGAATGCCCAAAATAATCCTCAGACAGTATTATACTTTTTCAAAACAGTTTTATAATGTTTACATTTCTATCTGCTTCTATATAACCAATAAAATCTGTTTATAGCTATGAGATGTTCAGGATAACTTTGTGAGCTGTGGTCTTTTTTATCTTCACAGAAATATGTTTCTAATATCTTTTCTGAAATAGACATCAATGTTTTGACCTTGTCAGCAGTCCTGTCATCACATAAAGCCCTAAAAGTCTTGAGAAGGTGTGACAAGACGATAACACAAACTTTGGACTATTCCTGTGAGTATTTGGTATTTGCAAACTGAAAACAGTTGCAAAAGCAAATTAAAGTTTCTCAAAATGTTTTTCAATACAAGGGTATTGGTATCTGGATGAGCCTCTCTGACCATATGTCAGGGGCATATGTTTCCTCAAATGCTTAGTTAGCTAATTCATTTATTCAGGATGTGACTTCAGAGCCCAACTTCCACTAGATTCCTGATGAGGAAGCAGATAGGAGAGCAGAGGAATAAGGATCGGTCCTGAGATAAGGAAAGCTGTTACCACACCAGATCTTTATGTGGGACCAATTAATGCAGAGTGACGTATGTCCAGCATGTATATGGATTCTTTTAATAAGATGAAAGGGGGCGAAAAAAGGACTAGTATTAAAAGTAATTTAGGTAGCTTTTAAAGTTACAGGAATCACCGGATACAGTGAACCTGAGTGGGTGAGAACAAAAAGCAAAAAGTAGTAATAATTGAATTTTCCGACTCGTGTTAAAAGGTATGCTGTGTCACTGAGGGACCTTTGAAGAAGCATATTGTAGCAGCATATCCATTAAGTGTGGTCTTTTGAACACTTATAGATCATGTCTTTTGGTTCAATTATTTTTCTGCTAATAATAGAATTTTTGTAAATTTGGACAAATTCCTTTTATTTTTTAATAACGTTAACTTGTAGTGTTTTTTGTGTTATAATTATACAATAGTAGCTCAGGATATTTGAAAATTGGGTTTTAATTATAATAGTAAGCAAAGCTTGGATCTAGTCTGGTTTGCTGGATTTTATTGTGAATCACAATTTAGTACAGAAAAATCTGCATACATTATTTTATTAAGATGCCTAAGCTCTTGGAAAGAACTTTTCAACATGTTTCTTATTTTGAATTAACTGCTGTGCAGAGTTATAGGAGCTTCTTCATTTCTGATTAAATGCTGATGAAGATTCTCAGTCATCCAGGTCATAGTCATCCCGTAAAAGTTAAAAAAAAAAATCCACTGGACTTGGTTTCCAAGAGTTGGTATCATCGTACAATAAAAAGAAAAACAAGAAACAATTGTTTAATTTAAAGTTTACTTGTTAAGCTTTTACGTGTTTGCTGATCAGACTTGACAGGACATTTTAATGACTGACTGACTCTTTTTAATTGAGGTGACACAGATAGCTCTAAACCACTAAATTCTCCCCTTTTAACCACTCTTCAAAACCAGAGGGAGAATAGAGCATGCAGTTTGAGAAAGATAGATGCGTCTCCCATCTAATAAATCAGCAAATGAGAACGAGAAAATTGATTTTTACCTTGCTCAAATCTACAGCTGTATGATTTAAAAAGTATGGATAGACTGGAACTGAAAATAAACAAAGCTGTATAAGGACTTGTGTTTATCTTGCCAGCGCGCTGAGTAAGCTACATGGTAAGGGAGGTAAAAACTATCATATTTTTTTTAACTCTACAGGGAGCTAATGCTTTGGTCAGATAAAACTAAGATTAAGCCTTTTACCAGCACAGAGTCCATGTGCATATAGTGTAACACGAAATCTCTGATAATTTTCCTAATTTGCTGGTCTGCTGTCCTTTAATACGAGACAACCACTGGTTTAGCTCCAACAGTTAAAAGCAACCTCTGACAAATATACGATATATTCTGAGAAAACAGTGGATTGCAGTTTGACTGCAGCTGACATTTGATTCCTTTCATCTTCTATGCTGCCATAACCTCTGTCTCCTTTCCTGCCTCGCCTCTTCTTCTTTTCACTGTCCAGCTGTAATAATACGCACATTAACATCCTTAACATGCTGCCCATTTATTAAAGGACCAAATGTCAGATCTGTCTGGAAAGATTGTGCTGCAGCCAGAACTCATGCGGTTTGGCATGTTAGGTCATGCAGTCTGACAGGAATCACTATAATCTCTAGCTGAGACAGGGTGGCACATTCAACCCCCTTAAAAGCACGTCCTGTTCACTATTAGGTATTGTGCTGGATCTGTGATGCTGCAGGCCTTCATTTCTGCAAAATGTTCTTTTAACCTTATCAGACGGTGTTACACTGTGACCTGTTTGAGAAAAGTATTTAAAATACTCTAAAGTAGGTTTAGAATCTTATAGTTTCATAACCAATGACTTGAATTCTAAGAATTTAGACATTTTTAAGGGTTAATGTCTGCTTCAAGGTTGATCCCAAACTTATTGTGCTGAATTATTCAGCCATGAAAATTACCCACACTTTGTTTCTGTGATTGAAAATAGCACTTCGTCCACAAAATGCCAGAGTTCACAGCCATTACTCACAGTTTATTCACCCATGCTGCCTACTCTTTCCTCTTTATAGCCCCCTGCACACCCTAAAGAAAGAAATACTTTTCAAGAATGACCTGAAGTGACATTCCCAGAGGTGTGACTTTCACAGCGCTCTTTCTCCAGCTCGATCTCGTTCACCACGTCACACATCTGCACTGATAACACCTGCAAAAGAGAAATAAAGCAGGGATTTACCATAAAAAATAAATATGATTTCAAAGTTTTCTTCAGTAATTAATTGCAGAGGCTTTTTTTTTGCATGTTGTTCCTTTCTTACTTCAACACACTTTTAGTGCCTTCATGGCATTTTCCCAGACAGAACCAAGCTCTGGCCGATAATGCAGCAAATGCACAGAAATGTTCTCTATGTCACAAAATCTAAATACAGCTCCTACATGGAAAAAAAAGGAAAATAGATACTATCATGCAAATGGATTAGGAAGTGGAGAGGGGAGCCATGGAGTAATCTGCCGCAATTGTTCATCTGTGTCAACAAAGGCTGAAAAATGCGGGCTGACAGCCACTGGCAGAGAGTCGGTGGGCCAAAGAAAACGTGTAAGACGAGCAGTGGAAGCTTGAGAAGGTCAGAGGAGATGATCTGAGGGAGGGATAGCAGAGTCAGTATAAACCAGAGCATATTCATGAACTCTCCCAGCCTAAGCTCCACTGCTTTAAGTAGTGTGGAGTAGTAAAGGTCAAAGTATAGAGAGAGCTGAAGCAAAAAGCACTTGATCTTAAAAACTGGATACTGCATGGTCAGTAATTGGCCTGTATACAGTATCTTAGAAAAGTAATTATCCTCCGTGTTTTTTAACTATTTTATCACATTCCAAACTGTAATTTTTCCTTTTTTGTCTTATTTTATGTGATAGATCTAAAAAAAAAAGGTCTAAGATGGTAATAATTTAAACAAGAAGGGGAAATTTAAGTCTACTGTTACTCTGCTACCCTTCAGGTCTTGCTCAGTTCTGATTTTTTGCTGCTATCCATTTTTTTCTGCATTGTTGCTTACACTAGTAATCATATGCAACAGTCCAGACTTCAGTCTAAATGGTTCAGGACATCAAACTGCATGCATAAAAGAAGAATGTAAATGTCCCACAACAGCACAGTTTAGGAGAGCAATGATGAATGTGACTGTCATTAGAAGTGTTAACTAAAGATTTGTTAACAAACAAAACAAAAAAGAACATAACAATTGTGTCTGTGTTTTCTTATTAAACTGTTGAGTAATGGGAGCTGATGGTATCATCACTACATAAATAACAAAGAAATAAAATTAAGAAAAAACAGCACAACTATTAAAAGCCATTTGCAAAACAATTAGTGACTGTTACTGCTTTCTCTGTGGATATGTGGCAGTGGTAATGCTCTAAAAGTCAGAAACAATGCAGCATGATCATTCAGACTACAGATTATTTGAAAACTGTCCGATTCAGCATCGTATATGAATGTAGATTTTTGTTTGGGTCGCATTTGCCTGCAGTGTGATCATAGGCTGAGTGTTTAAAAAAATGGTGATGATAAAAATTTAAACAAGATTTATATTCTAAGTAGGAATGGAAGAAAACAAATGATCCACTTCTGTGCAATGAAGCTCCTGAAATGTTCCAATGCAACCGGTTACCTTCAAAAGTTTTACAACTGGTAAAATGAAGACTTAATGTGGGCAATCTAAGGCTACTGCTACCCTTCAGGTCTTGCTCAGTTCTGATTTTTTGCTGCTATCCATTTTTTTTCTGCTTTGTGCTTACACTAGTAATCATATGCAACAGTCCAGACTTCAGTCTAAATGGTTCAGGACATCAAACCAAACTGCATGCATAAAAGAAGAATATAAAAGTCCCACAGCAGCACAGTTTAGTAAAGCAATGGTGAATGTGACTGTCATTAGAAGTGTTAACCAAAGATTTGTTAACAAACAAAACAAAAAAGAACATAACAGTTTGTGCCAGTTTTTTCATACGGATAGCATAAAATGAACAGTAATAAAGGCGTTGATTAAACTGTAACAACACAGCTATGCTCAAAACAGATCTTTTTTGTATTTTAACATAAAGTGTGTTCTAATAAGAAATAAAACAACTATACATATCAAAATATTACACATTTATTTTATTTATCTTTTTTTATGATATATTTAAACAGCCAATGGAAATATCTTTACGGGCATGACAGTGATCCAATCATTCTTGTAATTAATGACCAACTTTTTGCATGTTGCCGCTGACATGGTGAGATTTTTGGGGGTTGTTTTGGTGATAAACTCTTATTTTCTCAGGTTGAAAGGCCTCCTTGCCATTATTCTTATCTTAAGCCTCCTCCATAGATTCTCAGAACTTGATTTAACTCAGGAATGTTAATATTACTTCCAGACATCTTAGATAAACCACATTTTTTGCCTTTGCCTTAAAGCAATCCACAGCATCAAATCTTCTGATAGGGGCCGAGCGCCAAAGAACTTCTATCATTTATCTTATTAAAGTCTTAATAAAATCATTTGCAACATTTTTCTAAGTCAGTCTCTCCAGGTTGAAATATATTAAGCTCAGTCAGATTGGATAGATAATATCTGCAAATAAATCTGGAATCTTGATTCACATTTTCAAGTAGTTTAAGGTCTAAATGCGGATGCCTTTATTCTGAGACATTAATATGCTTTGATTTAAATCAATCCATTGCAGCTCTTATAAGGTGTTCCAGGTTGTGCTGCCAGAAAGTCAATCTCCATTTTTGTCTCCTTTCTTTGGAGTATGTATTTTACATTTTTAAAACACAAATATTATTCATTTACACTTTGTAAGACATATTGCTGTTTCATTTCATATAAGTTGCTATATAACACAGCAAAGTATATCAGAATGTTAAAAACTTATATTTATAACTTTTACAAGGTATGCATTTTAAAAAAGGGTGTATTCACCCACTGGCATAAAAGTACCTTCAAATGTCTTATTCTCCTCTAATCAATTGTTTCTTTTCTTTATTATTATTTTTTTTTTTTTGCTGCTTAAATCTTTTATTAGAAATGTGTTCTAAGCAAGCTGTACTCTACCTGTTCACACCTAAAATGTAAAAAAAAGACTTGGGGAGAGGTGACTCGTCTTATTATCAACTGAGGTTCCATTCAGCCTCTCATCTGCACTCAGGAAATTGAAAGAGTGATGAATAGACACCGCTGAGCAGATTTCTTCTTTTCGATCACATAGCTGTAGATTCCACATTTAATTTCATCAGTAAAGAAAAGAAACGACATAGCTTCAAGCGGCAAGACCTGCTGAACATCTTTCACACAAGTATGTTTTGAGTGACTGAAACTTCTGTTCCCGTTTCTATGATATACGCTTTCTTTGAGATGTCCAGAAAGGACCTCCACTCAAAAATAATGGGAATAAGAGTGGAGGTTACGGAATCTTTTGTTTGATTCGCCTTTCATCTCCAAGCTTTTGGTCCACTTAAAGAAGGGGTACAGTTAACAACATGTGAATATTTTTGTCAGCGAAGATTTTGCTACAAGGAATGATATGAATTTAAAGGGATGGAAATGCTTTTTCCTCTTAAAGGTAATTTACCTCTTTATCATCGGCCTTTGTAATTATTTTTTGCTAAATCTAAGATTTACATGTAGCAGATCCAAAAATATATGGATTATCAATACAAGTATAAAGAAAGAACAAAGCATTTATTCTGACTCTGACTGTTAGTTACAAATCAAGTTGTACAAATCTTCCAGTTACTGGTTGAGTTTCAAATTTATGAAACTCAACCAGACCTGGCTCGACTGGTCGCAACAAAAACTGGGGGGACACGGAAACAGGCAGTGCTTTAAGCATAAAAGGCATTTATTAAAAAGAATCAAAAAACAGACTAGGTGTCGGCATCAGACGGCAGCTCGGATGGGGCGATCACGCCTGGTCCCTCCACACCAGGAAGTCTGGACCCCAACCTGGTCTGGACTGGATGGCTATCTGCGGCGTGCTTGCTTCGACCAGGGGACGCGCCTCTCAAGCAGGGGACACCACACTCCTAAATGGTACGGCGCTCCTTAAATACCAACCAGGTGGCCGCATAATGGAAGTGCCTCCCACTTAGAGGACCTTAATTAATTGATAGTGTTAGTTTACAGTCATTTTGCACATATGCTCACCCGACTGCACAGCAGGGCTGTCACACCCCCGCCCATAAAAAAGCAGGTTCTATATGGAACCCTGCTCCAAATTCACCAACTGTGTAGTAAACCCGGCCACCCTTAAAGGAATAGTACACTTTCATCTGGTTTGGTCTGCCGGCTTCCATAGCGTCGTGAACGCGCAGGCGCGCGCTTCCAGGAAATCCTATACACTAC